AGGGGAGGAGGAGGTGGGGAAGAGACAGAAATCTTTAATAAATAAATAAATTTAAAAAATAAAAAAGATTTACTACAGCTTTATATCTGCAATTTTCTACTATTATGAGTTATAATGTAAATTTCTGATATGCAGGATCTCTAGTATGCAACCCAAAGGGGTCATGATCCACAGGTTGGGAGCCACTGCTCTAGAGCAACAGAAGTGTAAGGATGATTTAAAAAAAAAAAGATTTATTTAGTGGGATGATGCTGGTGCACACCTTAAATCCCAGAATTTGGGAGGCAGAGGCAGTTGATTTCTGAATTCAAAGGCAGCCTGTTCTACAGTTAGTTCTAGGACAGCCAGGGTTACACAAAGAAACCCTGCCTTGAAAAACTAAGGTAAATAATTTTTTAAAATTTATTTATGTACCTTATGTATATGGGTGTTTTGTCTGTATGTATATTTGTACACCACGAGAGGGCATTAGATCCCATGGGTCAATAGCTTGTGAGCCGCATGTGCTTGCTGGGAACTCAGGACCTCTGGAAGAGCAACTGGTGCTCTCGAGTGCTGAGCCATCCCTTCAGCTGCAAGACGAATTTTTTAAGTTATCTACAAAAGGCTTTACTGAAGCCTCTCCTAGAAGCTCGTAGAGTACAGAGCTATGTGTGAACTATTTTACAAACTTACAAACAAATGCATTTGATTATCCTAATTGACTAACTGTGACAGGCAACTGATTTGGTGACTCTATATAAAACTTGAGACAATTTGTGGAAAATTTGGAAAATGATGACACTGGTTTCCCCTGAATAAACTGACAAAAGAAAAGAATGAGCTCCATGATGAAATTAACTGATTTCTACCATCTCAGAATATTGTGAAAGACACAGTGAATTCAGTGATAAAATAAACTGGTTCCGAATGGTCATAAACAGTCTTATGATTTCAAAATGTGCCCTGGAAAAGGATGTTTTCTCCAGTAGACAGAGCACAAGTTGTGGAAAATCAAACCAAGGCCCTCAGTATAAGAATGCTGAATTACAGCAAAAATTCAAATCTCAACCTTGGAGGGTGTCAGCAATTACAGTAAGGGTACTGGTTAAAAATAGGATTATATAATTTGTGATGAGGACATGGGAGGACCCCACTGAAGTTGAGAATTCTGAATCTTTAGATACTCACCCGAGGAAGTAGTCCCTCTGTCCTCAGCAGATGTACCCTCAGTCCACCCCCGAAATACTGCCCTTTCTGCTTTGATTGAGGAAATCAATCCCAAGTTGTCTGCTAAACCAGCAGTGACTTTCACTGAAGGAGATGCCAGGCAAGACAATACTGTTGTCCCTCAGGACCCAGAAACAGTTGTCTCTAGACCTATAACCAGACTCAAGGCAAAGCAGGAGCCTAGAGGGGAGGTAGAAAATGTAGTGCAGGAGGAGATGCACTAAGCTACTAGAGAGCTTAGTGAGTTTGCTATTTCATTCCAGCAGAAGGCTGGAGAATACGTGTGGGAATGGATTCAAAGGGTGTGGGATTGTAGGGATAAGTCCCACCCCTTAGGGGGCGTGTTCGCCTCAGGCTAAAGTTCTCCTATAAAATTGGTGAGCGTGCTCCCAGCGCTCTCTTCTGCTTTCCTGGTCTCCGCGGGAACAGTGGTTCTGTAAGTCTATTCCTCCATTAAAGCTGTCTATATTTTGACAATCTGTCTGCATTCGCTTACGCCGTTACATTTTGGCGCCCTAGAGTTCAGGGGCCAAGCAGTTCTCAAATGAATACAGTTGGTGTGTTGTTATTTCGGGCATGAGCTAGCCAAGCGGCTGGGGTGTTGGGGACGCAGCCCAGCCGCTCCTATTTCAACATGGGATAATAGTGGAAGGAATATAAAACTAGATCAGGCTGAGTTTATTGATAAGGGGCTACTGAGTGGAGATTCCAGGTCTAATATAGAAACTTAAATAGTTAAAAATAAAGATGCCAGCATTTGATTGGTTGGCTGAAGCTATTGTCAAAAGATGACCTACTGAAAAGGAGTTGGAGATGCCCGGTATCCCTTGGTTTAATGTTGATGAAAGGATTTTAAGACTCAGGGAAATTGCAATCGTAGTATTGGTACGCTTTGTAAAGCTCAATCTTCACAATGGGAAGAAGGCCCAGAAGATATGGCCTTCATGAATCCTGCATGACGCAAAATGGTGAGGGGGTACCAAAACATCTGAAGACCTTCGCTGTCACTGTTTTCCTTTTGCCAGACCTTAGTTAGGGCTGGATATGCTGCTGCTCAGCTGAATGAATTAAATGCAATGAGTTTAGTTGGGCCCTGAAGTAGCAGGGGCCAGGTGGCAGTATTGAATTTCCAGAGACAAGGTGATCATAGTTATTGTAATGGGCAGCATAGACAATGCAATGTCCATAATAACCTGACATAGGCAATGTGGTTTTTTTTTGGAGGCGTGACCCATATATATACCTTTGGTACTGGCTAATCAATCATGGTGTTTCCAGACATGAAATACATAGGCATTCTGCATTTTTGTTTGATCTGTATAAGTGGGGAAAACTCTCAAACGAGAAACGTTCCATTGGATTGTGGCAAAAGGGAATCTCAGACTGTAACCCAATTTCAAGACTTGAGCCAGTTTGGAGACCCAGAATCCCTTGAATGAAGGGATGGCTAGGTTCTCCTGACGTAGGAGCTTGATCAACTCTGTTTGAGTTTAACTGTTAGCCTTTCTCCAGTCCTTTCCCAAATAACTTATGGCCTTTTACAAAATATAACTGTACAATGGGGGAAAAGAAACAATCAGACTTTCCGGTATCTGTTGGATACTGATTATAAATTGACAAATTCCGGGAGACCCCAAGAAACACTGTGGCCCTCCACTTAACATAAGGGATTGTGGAGGTCAGGTGATTGATTAATGAAGATTTGGCTGAAGTCAATCTTACAGTGGGTCGAAAGGTTTCCAGAACTCATCCTGTGGTTGCTTCCTCAGTCTTATAATGTGTAATTGAGACAGATATACTTAGAAGTTGGCACTGGTTCCTTGACTGTGGAGTGAGGGCTATTAGAGTTGGAAAGGCTAAAGGGAAGCCTTTAGAGTTGCCTCTGCCAGAGAAAATCGTGAATCAAAATTAATATGATATCCCCAGAGGAACTGCAGAGATCAGTGCCACCACCAAGGACTTGAAAGATGCAGGGGTGGTGGTTCCCCCCACATCTCCCTTTAACTCTCCTACCCGGCCAGTGCAGAAGACAGATGGATCGTGGAGAATGACAGTTGATTGTTGAAAACTCAATCAGGTAGTGACTCCAATTGCAGCTGCAGTACCAGATGTGGTGTCCTTACCTGAGCAGATTAACACATGTCCTGGTACATGGTATGCAGCTATTCATCAATAAATGCTCTTTTCTGGTACGTGTTCATAAGGACCACCAGAGGCAATCTGCTTTCTGTTGGCAAGGCCAGCAATATAAAACTGCAAAGTTTTATGTCAATGATATATCAACTTTCCAGCTGTGTTACAACTTAGTTCAAAGGGATATTGATTGTCTATCTTTTCCACAAAGCATCACATTGGTTCACCATATTGTCGACATTTTGCCAATTAGACCAAGTGAGCAGGAGGGAGCAAGTGCTATGGAGTTGTTGGTAACAAATACATGCATCAGAGGATGGGAAATAATCCAACTAAAATTCAAGGGCCTTCTATCTCAATGAAATTCTTTGGAGTGCAGCAATATGGGACATGCAGAGATGTTCCTTCTAAGGTGGAAAGGATGGCCCCTCCCACCACCAAGAAAGAAGCATAACACTTACTGGGCCTATTTAAATTCTGGAGGCAGCACATTCCTCACTGGGGTGTTTGTTACTCTGGCCCATAACCAAGTGACTTGCAAAACTGCTATCATTGTGTGTAGCCTGGAACAGAAGGCTCTTCAACAGGTCCAGGCTGTTGTGCAGGCCGCTCTAGCACTTGGGGCATAAGATCTGGCAAATCCGAAGGAACATAAGCTGTTAGTGGTATATTGGGAAGCTGTTTGGAGCGTTTGGCAGGCCCTTACAGGTGAATCACAGGAGAGACCTTTGGGATTTGGGAGCAATGCTCTGCCATCTCTGAAGACAACTCTTCTCCCTTTGAGAGACAGTTCTTGACCTGTTATTTTTCCTCAGTGGAAACTGAATGTTTGACAATGGACCACCAAGTTACCATGAGACCTGAGCTGCTCAACGTGAGCTGGGTGTTATCTGACCACCAAGTCACGAAATAGGATGTGCACAGCAGCAGTCTGTTATCAATTAAGAGAGTATCAGTGGTTATTATATTTAAAAAGAATGTCCCTTAAGGGACATTGTCACTTATCCTAAAATTTACAATTCATTTGGGGTTGTATGAGGGATATAATGTTAGGCATAATTATGACCTGGTTAAATATATAATGCATTGATAACTGCACATGAGATAGTTTTATCATGTTAATTAACAATTATACATGAGATAGTTTTATCATGCTAGGCATAATTATGATCTGGTTAGATATATAATGTATTAACAATTGTATGAGATAGTTTTATCATGCTAGGCACAATTATGACCTAGTTAATGTTTTCATTTGTAAATAAAGCATGGCATAAGGAGATGATTGTGTATCAAGTTGACACGGGTTGGATTTTGATGGCTTACTTTTTGGTTGTTAACTTGACTCTATCTGGAATTAACTAAAACCCACGTGGCTGGATAAACCTATGAGGGATTTCTTTCTTTTTTTGTGACAGGGTTTATTTGTGTATGCCTGGCTAACCTGGAACTCACTCTTTATGTAGACCAGGCTGGCCTCAAGCTCATAGAGATCTACCTGCCTTGGTTTCCGGAGTGCTTGGATTAAAGGTATGAGCCACCACTGTCCAATGGGGAATTTTTTCTTAATTAAATCATTTGAAATGGCAAGACCCACTTTTAATTCAGATCTTCTGAGGTAGGAAGATCCAACTTTAATCTGGGATATGTCTTCTTCTGGCAGCCTATGCCAAGGACATGGAAGATGGAAGCTTGCTCTCTTGGCCTGTTTACTTTCCATTGAAGAGTCACACTAAGACCCTTTAACCATCTATCACAATGCCCATGAGAAGTCATTTCCATTTTTCAGGAGCTACTATTTTAAATATCTTCCTAATTCCTTTTACCTCTACTCACTGTTTACTTGGTTCAAGACTAAATGTGAATGTCTGGGCTTCATGTCACCTGAGTGAAGACTGGTATACTGGAATATGCAGCTATGTCTCTGTTCATGCCTGACATAGCACAATGCAGTTCCCAACTCCCTTTTCAAGCTGGGTTCTCCTGCAGGTACTTGGTCTCAGACACCTCTATTAACCTCGTTGCTCAAGCTGAAAAACCTCAGCTTTTACCTGATTCTTGTTGGGCACACCTCATTAAGAACTCCTTTTGGCTTTAAGAAACTAGCTAGAACCCTTTGAATTTTCATTATTCTGGCCCCAAATTCCAGATTCTTATCTGTTGCTACAAATGTCTACACTTCATTCCTTGTATCTCCAGTCTGATTTCTAGCAGCAATCATTTTTTGAAAGTATATCAGTCCTCAGCCTAAAACCCTTCCAGTGGCTTTCCAACATTAATGGGAATAAACATCAAACTCTTCAGTTACCTAGCATGCAGTGGTGGTGCACGACTTTACTCCTAGGACTCCAGGAGGCAGAGGCAGGTCGACGTCTGTGAGCTTAAACCAGCCTGTTCTACAGAGCTGATTCCAGGACAGTGAGGGCTGCTACACAGAGAAACCCTGACTTGAAAAACAGAAAGAAAGAAAGAAAGAAAGAAAGAAAGAAAGAAAGAAAGAAAGAAGGAAGGAAGGAAGGAAGGAAGGAAGGAAGGAAGGAAGGAAGGAAGGAAGGAAGGAAGGAAGGAAGGAAGGAGGAAAACTCTGATACTCTTCTCTCTCACCCACTTTATTTTCTATTTGAAAATTTTATCATATATGCTTGTGCACACACATGTGATGGTCACTCATGGAGATCAGAGAACAACTTTGTGGAGCCAGTTTGCTCCCTCTCCCTTTACCTGGGTTCTGGGGACTGAACTCAGGTTGCCAGGCTTGTTTGGGAAGCGCCTTTACCTGCCAGGCCATCTTGCTTGCCCCCAATTTTAAAATAAGCTCACCATACCGCCTCATCTAACTTTTCTCATCTCCCATTTAGTTATGTTAACCTTGCTGCTACTCCACTAGGATTTCAAGAATCCTCCCAAAACATAGACCTTATACTTAATTATTCCCTCTGCCTGGATAATGCTTCCCTAAGGAACATCTTTATTCAAATATCATTTCATCAAGGAGGTTAATTCTGCTTTCCCTAACGGAATGCATCCCTGTTATTTGTTTCTGTCAACTCGAATGGACATAAGGTGTACAAATATATCATGTCCACGACCCTGTTTTTGTGTTAAAATAACAGTTGAATTGGTAAACCGAATAAAGCAGATTGGCTCTCTAATGTGGGTGAGCCTCATCTGATGAAGATGAACACAAAATATGGGATGATCCTTCTGGCAGCAAGAGACTGGCCTGACTGACCTAAGTGGGGATAGCCATCCTTTCTCTTCCTGTTTTACACAACACTGGCTTTCTTGGGCCAGTATTTACATTTGCCAGCATTTGGACTAGATCTTACACAACCAATCCTGTTGTTTCCCTAGCTTTTGTATTAGACAGGAGGTTAGGTATTTGAGTCTCAAAGGACTTTTATGTTGGACCCCTTCTTCATAGTCAACAACTTGAAAAATAAAATATCCAGAAAAATTATCAGGATTTTAATAGTTGTCAGGAAAATTGGATCCAAGTCATATCCCTCACTGCATAAAAAGTTAAACAGATAACTTTTTAAACCTGGTGCCAGGACCCCTGAACCTTATGTGATTACTGATAAAGAAGGATGTGTCATTCCCGTCTAGTAAGACATAAGCTGTGGTGGTTTGAATGAGAATGGCCCTTATAGGCTCATGCTTGAACACTTAGTCCCCAGTTGGTGGAATTGTTGGGAAAGATTAGGAGGAGGTGCTTTGAGGCTCTCAGGTGCTGCTCCATTCAACATGCATGTTGCTTGCTGTCCATGCTGTCCTACCATGATAGTCATAAAGTCAAGAAAATAAAATGCTTCCTTCTATAAATTACCTTGGTCATGGTATTTTATCACAGCAATGAAAAAGCAACTAGTATATAACCCAAACAAGTCTATCAGTCACTTGGACAGGACAAAGTCCCTCAGGAATAGCCACTTATTCTAGAGAAACACTTAAAATATAGTATTTCATCTGCCTAAATTGCATATCAAGGCCAGTCTCCCTGGCCATTGTTTGTCCCTGCCCCATGACTGTATACTCTAAACTAACTTTGTCTTGTCTGACTTTGACACTACACTTTGTGTTTTGCCTGAATTCGTTTGATGGAGATCACAAGGGTCTGGGAGATAAAAAGAGTCCAGACCAAGATCCTTGATACATGTGAACTCAGACTGAGACATGACTGGTTGGCTATTCTGTGTCTCATTTGCCAACTACAGATCACTGGGATTTCTCAGATTTCCATAATCACATGAGCCAACCCCTATATTTACGCACTCATGCGCACAAGCGCCAGCATGCACACACATACCCAAGACATCCCACCTCTTTTTCTCTTGAGAAGGCCCAATATATTTTCATTTATTGCTTTAACGGGTTATCAGGAATTTGGTAGCTTGAAGTAATAGAAATTTATTATAGTTTTAGAGGTCAAAAGAACGATTTGTTTCATAGGGCTAAACTCCAGGTGTCAATATGGCTATTTTCTTCTTAAGGCAGCTGGGGTTCTAGAAGCCACTTCATCCCTGTCAGTTCCTAGTGGTTCCACAATAGGCTTGTGGCGACCTGCTTTCACCTTTTAAAATTTTTTAATGATTATTTGGGAATCTCACATTATACACACCAATGGTGCTCACCTCCCTGTCTTCCCATGTCTGTCCCCCACCCCCACCTCTTACCCTGCCTCTAGGAAAAAACAAATCTATTTTGTGTTGTTCATATATCACTGGTGCATGGTCAAATTCCTAGTGGCCACCTGCTTCCATTTTTAACAGTGATTTTTAGTCTTTCTCACAGTCTCTTTTGGTACTGATTGTCCTGTCTTCCTCATCCAAATTTAAAGTGTCCTTATATGTGGAGCTACATGGATCATGCAGGAAAATCTTACTTCATTGAAAGGCAGCTGATCAGTAGCTTTAATTATGTAGGTAACATTAATTTCTCCTTGCTAGGTAATATATGGACAAATTCAAGGAATTAGAAGTACTGCCTACCTCAATGCCTTCCTCCAACACTGTTGTAATTTTCTTCATAGTACATTTGTCTCCCAATAAAACATACATAATTGGTTACTGTCCATTTCTTTTATTTAAATAAAGAGCCCATGAGTTCAAGGGGTTTGTTTGGTTGACCCCTGTGTCTCAGGCTCTGAAGGTATTATTTGAATCATAATAAATTGTGGACTAAATTTCTGACTAAAATAATAAGGCTTGCAATTTTGTTAGTAAGCATTCCTGCTTCAAAGAGAAGTCAGGAATTTAAGTAGGAAACCATAAAGCTCTGTTTTGCAAAGTACTGTTTTTGGAGACCTAAAACAGTTAGGCATCCCCCCCCTTTACAAGGGCTCTAGGGAAACAGAGACTATAATCCTTCACAATAGCAGTTAAGGGAAAACTTAAATATTGCAAAATTGTCCTGGCAGTCAGGGATTTTACCAGTTATAACAGCACTGGAAATTTTCAATCAAGATCAGGCCAGGATTACTAACATAGATTTTCCAGCTGCTGTCAATCCATAAGGTATAGATAAGTTATTTTTTAAATATTGATTTCACATAATTATTCTGTGCAGTAGCTTTTTGTGTTTTTCATTTTACTATAAAATTCATATATCACAGATATCAGATATTTAAAGTCTTTTCTAGTACTTAGTGCTAAAATTCTGGCTACATTGTCAATTTTATTTTAAACTTTTTTCCAATAAGCAAATTCTCTTCTCTAGAATAAATGAAACTTTAAACTCTTAGTGCAAAATTCAAGATATGAGAAAAAGAAACACAGACACTGAAATCCCTAACAGCAAACATTTATTTACAATCCAAGTTAAGGAATACATATATTTATATATGTGTGTGTATATACATACACACACACACATATATATATATATGATTTTTTGAGACAAGATCTTGAGATATATCCCTGGCTGGTCTAGTCCTCCCTATGCAGACAAACTGGCCTCAAACTTGCAGCAATCCTCTTGTCTCTACTTCCCAAATGCTGGGATTATAGGCATGAGCTACCATGCCTGGCTGAGTCACAGAATATTTTTAATGCATGCTGAGAAAAACAGTAATACTTCAAACTTACATGTATATATTTGATAATGAATACAAGAGGATGCTGGGAAGGACTTTGGCATACACTATTTAAAGCAGGTTATCGGAACACAAACACCATTAGAATCATGTTATCAGAACACTTACATATATCACCTACATATATGTTACACCAACTTCATGGACACCCCATCTTCTAACTCCTCACTGGCTATTTGAATAAATAGCATTCAAAGTTAAATGATAAGACTGGGGAGTAGAGAAGAAATACAGAAGTGTTAAGCATCACAATATTTTAGAGTCTACATTTATGAATACAACAATAAAATTAAGAAACAGTGTTTCAATTTTAGTGTGGGAAACAATATTCGGCAATGCTTAGCGCATGAGAAGACACTGTTTTGGTCCATCCACTCTTTCCAGCTTTTCAAAGTGTTTCCTGGCATTGCGGATGTTGATCAGAGTAGCTGCAGAAGCTGAGGGTGGGGGGTGGGGAGACACCCAACAGAGTAAGAAGAGCAGTCAAAGGAATGTCTCTCTAGTAAAAGCAAATAAATTAAAAGATCCTAATCTTTCAGTGTATGCCAGAGAAACTTACAGGAGCAGGAAGCCTTAAGTTATGAAGATTTGATATTTCTAAAGCAGATTTTCACATATCCTAAACATAAAATTTCACAATCTTTTGGTTTGAGACTAATAGAATAGAGCTCAAGAAATATCTGATGCTACCTTTAAATATTAACATAAAATAGATAAAACCAGAAGACAGATAATGTAAACATGTGGGAATATTCTGGAAACACTGAGAACCTTTAGTCTAACGGTTATAGCAAACATGGCTTCCATGGCATGGAAATAATGCTCATAACAGAAATATACAGCCGTGGAACATGGAGTTCACCTTTAATAACTTAGAGGTTACGTGGCTAGTATTTTAAAAGTTCTGGGATCTGGGTTCTTTTCTTTTTTTTTCAAACTCCGCAATTAGTAATTTGCTGTGATAGTCTAAATGTAACTGGCTCCCATAAGCTCACAAGGAGTGGCACTCCTGGGAGGTGTGGCCTTTTTGGAGGAAATGTATCACTGTGGAGGCAGGCTTTGAGGTTTCCTATGCACAGGAAACCACCTAGTCAACTTCCTGCTGTCTTCTGGTCAAGTTTAGCCAGCTCCATGTGTGCCTGTGCATTGCTATGCTACCCATCATGATAATGGACTTAACCTCTGAAACCGTAACCCACCACCTGAATTGAATGTTTTCTTTGTACGAGTTGCCATAGTCAAAGTGTCTTTTCACAGCAATAAAAATCTTAAGAAGCCTGCTTTCTTAAATTCTCATTAAGCAAAACATAATACATGAGAAAAAATAATTTTCAGTTCTAAAATATAAGATTAAATAAAATTATTTAGAACTACTACTACCACTAATTTCTTTAACTGTAGCTTTAATATGTACATTATACATTATATATGTATATGTAAAATTTACCACACCTACCGTTTTTAAATGAACAGTGAGATTAAGTGACTTAGATGTTCTTATACAACCACCCTCATTATAAAATAATTATTAAATATTTAATAAAGTACTATCTCTTCAGCCTTTATTTAAAAATTATGAGAGGTTTAAACTATGTCAGGCAAGTTTAAACTTACGAATGGATGGATCAGACATCACGACCATGACGTAAGTGTTGGATGTGAATATGTCAATGAAAGCAGCAAAGTTAGAGTTCCTCACTTCCATACTCTGGAAAGAGGCAGCCAGCTTGCTATGGGAGAAAGGAAAATGGTGGTTAAAGAAAGGACTAAAATAAGTTGCCCTTTATTATATTAGAAAGTTTTACAGTACTATATCTCATTTCATCCTTTCGAAGTTTCCAAGGAAACTGTACTGATGAATCAACATGTTTAGAGAGTGACTAGACTGAAAAACAGGATATGGATTGATAAAGACTAAAAAGTGAAAATGAGCTTAAAACTTGGCATGTATTGCAAAGTATTCCCAAAGACTTTAATACTTCTCCTAATTAGCAGACAATAATAATGGGTTTCATTATGTCATTTTCTCTTTGTTCTTATTTATCCCCCCATTCTCCTAAAACCCTCTCCCCTCACCACTGCTAGTTTCCTTATTCCCAAAATTGTGCATCTATGTATTTTCAAGTCATGTGCATCATATTTCCCTCTCTTCTCTCTAATACAACTTAAGATATCTTCCTACTCTCTCATGATCCCATTTCTTATTTTTATGACCTGAATACGAAGACACAAATTTAAATGTAGATTCCTCATATGAGAGAAAACATGGTATTTTTGAGTAGCCTATTTCACTTAAACATATTATTGCCTATTCCATTTATTTTCCTGAAAATGTCACAATTTTCCTTTCCTTATGATGGATAATATTCCATACTGTATATGCACAAAATTTTCTTTATCCGTGAATCTGTTCATGGGTACCTAAAGCTGGATCTATTTTGAAGATACTGTTAATAGATCACCAATAACATGAATGTTCAATATCTCTGTACATATGGAGTCCTTTGAGTATATGCCAAGTATTTAGCTGAGTCATACAGGGTCTTTACTTTTAGTTTTTTGGTAAATTTACATGATGGTTCCAGAGTGCCTGCACAAGTTCATACCTTGTACAGTGTACAAGGACTTACTCCTCCTTCTGATGTGCTTCTAAATGTGTTGTCTTTGTTTCTTGATGAAAGCCAGACTGATTGCGCTAAGATGTGATAATGAAGATGTTTTAACTATCATTTACCCTCATGACTAAGGTAATAATATTAGTCAAACAATTATTGGTCATATACATTTCTTCTGATAACTATGTAATTCATCTGCCATTTACTGATTGGGAGACTTTTTTAGATTTAGAGTTCTTAATAGATTCTAGATATTCATAATCTAATCTGACAGATTTTGTAAAGTTTTTTCAATGTGCTGATTGTTACCTTTGTGATATAGAAATTTTTCAATTTCATATAATCCCACTTGAAAAATCTTGGGATTACTTCTTGAGCACCTAAATTTGCTTTGAGAAGAGTCCTTGCCTATATCTTGAACTATTTTGCACTTATTTTTATCTAGTTGTTTTAGACTTTCCGGTCAATAACAACTTTGATCACTTTTATTCTGCAGGGCAGGAGATATGGGTCTACTCTTATCCTTCTACATGTGAATATCTAGATGGTTTTCCCCAGAAGCAACTAAGTTATCTTTTTTCCCTAGTGTTTACTTCTGACATTTCTGCCAAAATTAGGGGCCTGTGGTAGTAGTGTTTATTTTTGTATCATCTATTCTATTTATCTACACATCTCCTTTTCTCGGGTGTGTATTCCTAAATATAAAAATACAACCTGTTCAGTCTATATAATGACTACTACTTTAATACTCATTTAGTATCCTGTTAATTTGTTGAATATGTTGATTAGCTACAGATTTGACACACATAACCCTTATTATGTAGAGTTACAGTTTTTTAAAGACAGGGTTTCTCTGTGTAACAATTCTTTCTGTCCAGAAACTCACTCTGTGTAACAATCCTGTCTGTAGAAACTCATAGAGATTGGCCTGCCTCTACCTCTCAAGTGGTGGGATTAAAGGCGTGTGCTGCCACCATCTGGGGAGATACATTATTTTTATTTCTAGTTTTATCAGGCCTTTATCATGAGAAATTGCTAAACCTTGTCAAAAGCCTGTCCTGCATCTAGTAATATGCGTTCTATCCGTATGTTCATTTATGTATTATATTATACTTATTGAGTACCATACATTGAACCAACTTTGAATCCGTGGGACGAAAGCAAGTTGGCCATGGTATATAGTCTTTGTTCCATAATTTAGTTTTCAAGTACTCTGTTGAGTTTTTGCATCTATGTTTATCAGGAAAATTGATCTGGGTTATTTCTGGTGTGCCCTTATTGGGTTATGGTAACAACATAACTCCTTCATAGAATTAATTTGGTAGTATTCCTTCCCTTTCTGTCTCATGAGACAGATTATTAGGTATTAGATTTACCTGTTTCTTAAATGTTTGGTAAAACTCAGTAATCCACTTGGTTCTAGGCCTCTTTGTGGAGAGAGATGTTTAATTAGTACTTCAGTCTAGCTACATGATATGGGTCTGAGGTATTTATACCTTTTGTACTGAATTTAGGTAGGTTATAGATATTTAGGAATCTATCCATGTCTTCCAGGTTTTTCGGGGGATTTTTTAATATAAGTATTCAATGTGTTCCCTAATAATTTCCTAGATTTAACTAGAATCTGCTGCAACATCACCATTCACAGCTCTGATTCTATTAATTATTTCTCTTCTGTTTAGTTTAGCTATAGGCTTATCTGTCATGTTTAGCCTTATAAGGAGGCATCTTGTTGCCTGATTCTATGTATTTACCTTTTAGTCTCCATTTTCCTAACTTCTGCCCTGATTTGTATTATTTATTGCCTCCTACTTTAATAAATTTAATTTATTTAAATTTAAGATTTGGTTATTCTCTCCTCTCTCCCTCCATCTCTGTAGCTTTGGTGCCTGGCCTAGAACTAGCTCTTGTAGACCAGGCTGTCCTTGAACTCACAGAGTTCTGCCTGTCTCTGCCTCCAGAGTGCTGGGATTAAAGCTGTGTCACAACCGCCCAGCTTGTTCGCCTTTTTCTAAGACCTCAACGTACACCATTGTACTGAGTACTGTTATTTTTTAAAGCAGTACTCTGAAGTCCTTTTCTAAATTTCTGGTATTTCAATATCTTTGGTTTCCAGTAGGGAGAAACTGTGTGCATCTGTACACATGAACACAGTGTCACAGCGGTTCATTCTCTCTCTAGTGATGCTTTGTTGTGTTTGTATCTGTTGGGTGTAGTTTCTAATTTTCCTATTTCTTTCTTTTCTTACTGGTTTGGTTATTTTATGTGAGTCATCATGGTGAGCTGCCTTTACTTGGTATATACTTCACTTCTGTCCTTAAGGTTCAAGACAGAGGGACTAAGGTACTGTGGGGAAATGTACCTTAGTTGCTTATAGCTAAGGTATTTAATAACTAAAAAGTAAAAAGAGGAAAAGGTATGAAAAAGGGAAAAGAAAGAATAAAGTATAATAAAGGGAAAGTACAGGGCTACAGGTATGAGAAACAATAGAGAACAGGTACAGAAAAAGTAAAGACTGTCATAAAAGCTTATTCTTGCAAGATACAAATGAAAACAAAAATAATTAAAATACAAGCATGTAAATTAACAAAATATAACATAATTAACTAAATATAACATAAAATAACTAAAATGAGACAACAATTATTATAATGTTAGTATTTCTTCCTTTGGGATGAATATAGTTCCTCTCCACTTTGGTGGGTTCCTTTAGCTGTTTCTGTAGGTAAAGAGACAGCTGTTAGTGCCTGAAATTTAAATGCATTTTATGGGCATGTCTTCCCTGTTGCAAGGTGTTTCTGTATTGTACTTGCTTTCTTAAAAGTTTTCCCATCGTAAACAATCCATCTGGCAGCTACTGACTGATACTGGATTATTGCTGACCAGTTTCCATGAGGTTCTATACTTGTATTCTCTTCTGTCATAGGATCCATCTTCGAACCCAGATCCCTGCTATGTATTTGCTAATGACCCATACATATTGCCCAAGAATATACTTGTGTCCATCTATAACAGCATGCTAGGTCCAGCACAATTCCTTTGTGTTATTACGTTGTTACTATGTTACTCCATGTTAGTCACTCTGGGACTCTTGCTCCATATTCCCTTGTTGCATTTCTACCTTGCTATCCCTGGTAGTCTCAATCAATGCTCATGGTGTATCCAGTGCCTAGTTGTGTCTCCTCAGCTTGTCTATCTCCAGATAACTGTTCCTTTGACACCCATGCTCAGATTTGGACAGCTTCTTCCTGGTATTATCAGTGCCCTTATCCCAGTGGAGGCAGTGTGCTATATTCTGGTATAGTTGTTCACTGTTTCTACTGAAGATAATTATTTCAATCTCAACTCAACTTATTTCTTTTCAATACCTCTCACTTCTCCTATACCAACACTTTTCACCTGTTCTACTTTATGTTGGTGATAGTCTCACCCTATTTCCTTCTTAGCAACAGTGTTCTTTCTTTTTTTAAAAGCCCAGGCTTTTCTCCTTCACAGTTCCCCCCTCCTTTTATAAACCTTGCTGGATATTCTCTACTTTTATTTATTAAATGGTATCGAATATCTCAAAAGGATACTTGAGTTTTTTGTTTTGTGTTGTTTTTCAAGATAGGGTTTCACTATGTAGCCCTAGCCATCTGGAACTTATTCTGTAGACCAGACTGGCCCAAGCTCACAGAGATCCATTTATGACTGACTCCTGAGTACTGGGATTAAAGGTGTGTGCCATCATCACTGACAAGTATTTTTATACGGTTCTGTACAAGTTTGGGTCACAGAATACATGGATTTGGGTTATTTTTCTTTAAAATTCCTGAATTTAGTAACTTCCTCTCTGAAATTCCCATGAAGAACATACTATACTTGCCCTTTTTGAACTTTTCTTGTTCAAAATATGACTATTATGCTTATATTAAAAAGACAATGGACTACTCTTTAGTCAGTTGTAGGTTCTCTTAGAACTCAACATTTATCTGACTAAGCAAACTATTGTAAACATAGATGTACAGTCAATTTAAATTCTTTAAATTTCAAAAATGATAAATATTACCCAGAAATTAACAGCTAACATTTAAAGTCTCTTACCTACAGCTCAGCTTGAACTGTTTAATAATGTTGCTGATTTTCTCAAATCTGTGGGCATCACGCTGTTCTTTACACTGATAATGAGAAATGACCTGTGAAGAGAGAGATTGTGATTTGAATCCATGCAAATACCCACACCTCTGTTACTAATTAAAATAGACATCTATTAGCACTTTAGTCATCTTGGTTTTAAGAAGTGAGCTGTTACCTGGCATCCTGTTTTTTGCCCTCTCTGTCCCACATCCTTGTCAACAATTTCCATATTCATTTAGGTAACATAAACAGGATCATTTTGTTATGTTTATTAGATAACTTGTATGTTCTCCAGAAATGATTTTTGTCTCATGATGATATGACTTTTGACTGATCATGGTGGGTAAGCAATACACATTCCATAGAAATCATATTTTGAATTTTCCAGGCTTGGAATATACTGTACATATACTGTATCTGTACACATATTGTACAATACTCTTTTATAATACTGAACAGCACTAGTGAGCCATAAGTCCCGATCTATGAAGGTGAATTCCAAGATTATAAGAATAAAGAAGGGATCATTTTTGGAGCATATGCAGCATTGCTAAGATATAGTGTTGGGTAGGTTTTCAAGTTAAGAGTTTATCAGAGCATACCTTATCCTAGTCAAGGAGCATTCGGTGCTTTTCTCAATTATCTTAATCACTAAATTTTAGCTTATTAACATATCACAAGATGGTCTTTGACTTAAAATGGTATAAATGAAGAGAAAATAAAATTATCTAGCTGCTCTTGGCTGTCTCTAAGATAATTGTGAAGAAGCCTTTAGCAAGTGGCTGTTGGAATCATATTAAAAACCTTTACTAGATGATCCCAAGTACTGACTAAGTATTGACATAAACTAATATACTCAGAACAAATACACACACCAGGTAAAAATACTTTTCAATTTTAATAAACCACAAGTACCCTAAGAGCTGAAAATACGTTGCAAATTTCTAGCAGAGGAAAATCCACCTCATTTGCCAAAAGAACATTGACATGAAAATTCTGACATGATGTTAAATATTTGAAATATAATTCTTATACCAAAGATAGAAGAAGTACATGCATATATTCTCTTTTGCTCCCAATTAAATGTCAGGGTTTGTGCTGGCTGCTTACCATTACACTGTCCCATTTTAAAGCGCACAAGAAATCTATGATATAAGCAGTATATGTTGGTTTTACAGAAGAAGAAACAAACACAAAATGACTAAATCATTTTGTCTAAACTCACCTAGCACTGGTAAAGATCAAAAGCTAAATTATTCACTGGGAGCTACTTTGAGAGGTACGTTAAATGAGTCTATTACCAATTATTCAGGAAATGTGTCTGTCAAATTAGCTTTTACAATTACTTTCCTTGGTTTTTTTGAGACATGGTTTCTTCATAGTCTTGGGTATCCTGGAACTCACTCTGTAGACTAAGCTGCCCTTGAACTCAGACATCTACCACCTCTGCTTCCTTAGAACTGGGACTAAAGGTGAGTCCCACCACTGCCCAGTGACCACTACTATTTTCCAAATGTATTCACTGTGCTGAAGAGATGGCTCAGTGATTAGGAATGCTTCTTGGTGTTCTAAAGGACAAAAGTTTGGTTCCCCACATCCATGCCAGGCAGCTCATAACTACCTGTAACTCTAGCTCCAAGAAATCTGAACACCAGCCGGGCGGTGGTGGCACACACCTTTAATCCCAGCACTGGGAGGCAGTGGTAGGTGGGATCTCTGTGAGTTCGAGGCCAGCCTGGTCAACAAGGGCTAGTTCCAGGACATGCTCCAAAGCTACAGTGAAAACCTGTTCCAAGAAAAAAAAATCTGAGTATCTTCTTCCAGACTTCATGGACACCCAACACATAAGTGGCAGCCCCCCCCCCAACAAATAAAAATAAATCTTTAAAATATATATATAATATAGATTTTTGTATCACTGACTCATGCCTCTATAGCATACCCTGATATCATTGCTAAATTCAATTTATAAGAAAAGTGGTACTATTAATATTTCTCTTACCTGCTCCACTTCTCAATCTAAACTCTTAAGTCACTGAGCCTTTTACATGTTAGAAGTTTTCATACTGTATCAATCTTTTTGATAAATGGGTGGGAAAAGAATTTTCTTAAAAGAAAAATGCATCTCTGGAGAGATGGCTCAGTGGTTAAGAGCATTGCCTGCCATTCCAAAGGTCCTGAGTTCAATTCCCAGCAACCACATGGTGGCTCACAACCATCTGTAATGAGGTCTGGTGCCCTCTTCTGGCCTACAGAGATACACACAGACAGAATATTGTGTACATAATAAATATATAAATATTAAAAAAAAAGAAAAAAAAGGAAAAATGCACTGTATTTCTTAATAAAGCTCAGTAGGTAATAAGATTCCTTTATCATAGTTAAATAGTTATTAGTAGAACTAATCTAAATCTCTAATAAGGCATAGCTACAAAAATCTAAATTTTACTAATTATTAAAAGGTTACTTACCAAAGAACTTTTTCCACAACCACTTGCAAACAGTAAAGCTTTATAAGACCATATATGCTGATGTAAAAGGGGGTGGTTCTTCCTAAAAGTAGTAAAATCCTGTCCTCTGAATGTAAAAAGACTGCTTGAAATACATCTGTAGAGCAGAAAGTCCTTACCAGAAAGGTAGCTCTCTCAAACAGAAGTACTTCATCAGCCTCAATAATTTCAGCAAAATTTCGCAGGTTCATTTCCAGTTGCTGAACATTAGGAATCAGCTGATAAACAATACTGGACCAAGCCTAACAGGACAGAAGCACAATCAACTATTACTAACAGATAGAGAGTTCTAGGCCTTTGAAATGAGTAAGTACCCTACAAGACACAGACAGCAAAGTACAATGGTAATTGAGTCCAAAACAAATACAGATGTTAAATATAACAAAAATCAAACAAATTAACCTAATACTTGATTTGTATCCTTGAGTTGAATTTTTAGAGTTCAAACACTTGAGAAATGCTGGAGAAATGTCTTTCCATGAGTAAACAGGTAGTTTAGTACCATCATGCAGCCTTAGGAGAAAAGTTGCAAAGTATGATCTATTGTGCTAAAGCCATTCTAACCCAGACATTCAACAAATATTGAAGTCCAACATTATATACAGCTTTAAAAGAAGAAATAATGCTATATTCTGCATACATTCAAGAGCCAATTTGGTATCAAAGCCACAAAGACTCTGGAACAGTACTTCCTAGACAGGTATCTCAAAATGTCGTTATTAGAGCCCCTCCCTTCAAAGATATAACAAGTCATGATGCAAGAAACAACTGGGATTATAATTTTCAAATGTTTGGTCACATCTGTAAAAATTACTGATTCAATTGAATTTTCAAAAGTCTATCGTGTGACTGCCTGAAACTGAGTTAATCCGGGAGTATGACCCATGCATGCATACGAGATTAGTTTCACCCTCTGAGAATCCTCTTCAGGTGCTTGTGTTCATACTTCTGTTAGAACACTTCCATTACTCTTACTATTCTTCTGGTTAGGTGTACTTTGTTCTTCTGTCTCCTCCTAAGACGTCAGGAACCTATCTTAGCCATTTGTGAATGTGACAGCATCCAATAGATAGACAATGAATGCTTGTCGAATAAAACAATCTCAAAATTTAAGTCAGTTCTATGCAACATTGATGTAAGAGATAGCAGTAGTGCCATGTCTCTGTTCCAATTAGTTTTACTACTTAGGCATAGTGTTCCAAGTTCCCAGGTTGGTGTTAATGTCACTGCTGAATTTACCTTGGAGAAGGCACCAAAGCTAACCACAGCAGAGACATTGTCACTCACAGCAGTGTTGTGATTAGCCAATTGTCTTTGGTCGTGTTATGTATAGCCATCCTTCACACCGCAGCTGGTTCTTATCAGTGCGTCATGTCCATCCTTATTGACGGTTACCTGTTCTATGGGAATAAGGCTTTGAGAGAAATTCGGCCCATGTTAATCTGGAACAGTACTTCCAAGACAGGTTTCTCAAAATGTTGTAATTAGAGTGAGCCTGGGTCAACATCAGGCTGGGGAAGAATGAACTAGTTAAAAAAATCAAATGCTATTTTTAAAAGTCCAGTGGCTTTTCTCCTTGGCAAGTCAGGTTTCTGTGTATCTGGTTGTAGACATGTGTCAGACGAGTTGAAACTGAAGCTCTAGCTACCAGTGACAGAGAAGGATCCTTTGCCACCCAGCGTCACACTTGTCAATGTACACCAGAAGCAGCCTGAAGGAAAGGTCTGACCACATGAGGATATAGAAATAATCAATCTTTAAACCACGTGTATGCAACACAATTGGAAGAAGCAGGAGACTATGTACCACTAAGGTAACTTCAACTTCATCCACAGAACTACTGAGATAACCTCTAGACTTGCAAGCAGTGTGATACTCATTCCAGCAATGCTACCAAGGAAGGATGAATGCTAGTCTCCAATTTGGCCTGAAAGCTTAAGTTATAATATACTTTACATGTATCATATTTCATTCTAAAATTCACTTCTCCCATTCTCCACTAAATGGTTTTCTTCCATTGCTATCTGAATTTAGGCAGATTAGTTTATACCATAAGCATGTAGAAATACCTGCATATTAGATACCAAAATAATCTCTGAGACCACAGCAGGTCAAAATGGATGGAGGATTTTTTTTTTTTTTTTGGTTTTTTGAGACAGGGTTTCTCTGTGGTTTTGGAGCCTGTCCTGGAACTAGCTCTTGTAGACCAGGCTGGTCTCGAACTCACAGAGATCCGCCTGCCTCTGCCTCCCGAGTGCTGGGATTAAAGGCGTGCGCCACCACTGCCCGGTTTGGATGGAGGATATTAAGCAACATTTTTGCTATGACAAAGAACAGTAGCTGGTTAATCATATTCAAACTGGCAAACTTGGTAACAATGTCAACCCAACCTAAGATTAAAATACAATTCTTTTTGATGTTAACTCTGATGTTCTTGGAACAATTTGTTAAAGATTATTTTTTTTTAGTACAACAAATCTAGATGGCTATGAAAGTTTTAAATATTTTAGTTTTGTTAATATCCTTCTAACTTTTATTCATGCTCCAAAAGTAGGAAATGGAGGAATCATACACACCTTATACAGAGTTTCATCCCAGATAGATGTTCGGAAACAAGAACATTCTAATGGACGAGATAAACGCCTTAAGTCTTCTTCTCTTTCTTTAAAAATCTGAATTAAAAAAATCCAATAAATGGATCAGCATGGAACAGCTCTCCTCCTTCACTACAAAATCTGACGTGTAATTATTTTACCATATTTTGACAAGGACCCTTACTCTGTCTTCATAGGAACCATCAGTATTATTATTTCTCAAACAAGAGTACAAATGTGCTAATGGCTACTAGATTTCTTCAGACTTATCCTAGTTTTGCTAAATATTTATTGAGAGCACTGTTAGAAAATTAAATTTATCATACAGATAACTCTGTATGATACATTATGTGTACATATAGCATATGTTTTACACACATACATACACACACATATATACACATACACATAAACACACCCTCAAATCTGCCAAATCTAGGTCATTATTTTGTAAATTAAAACGTTTTAGTTCTCCATTATAGAAATATTCTCTAATTACATACATATATGCAAATACATATATTTATATGTGTAGTATACTTAATTTACAACAAATATATAACCCATACAAACAACTATGCTCTAGCCAGCTAGGATTTGTTTCTATGTACACATCCACACATATACAGAGAAAATAGTTATATAAAACATGTATATTCAAGATGTTTCCTTGTGTGGGTGAATTGCTAGTATGGGTGTATACACATACTTTCATTTTTAAATTACATTATAATTATTTATTTTTATTTTAGGTGCATTGGTATTTTGCCTGCATATATATCTCTCGGAAGGTGTTGGATTCTGGAGTTATAGACATTTATGAGCTGCCATATAGGTGCTGGAAACTGAACCCAGGTCTTCTGGAAGAAGAGTCAGTGCTCTTAACCGCTGAGCCATCTCTCCAGCCCTTAAATTACATTTTAATTTAAAATCTAATTACATTGCCTTTCCTCTTCCCTTTCCTTATTCCAGATGCTCCCAAGTCTCCTCCTTTTCACTCCTTTCTTGTCCCCCTTCTTAAATTGATTGTCTTTTCTTTGGTATTTATTGTCACATACACACACAGGCATGGATATATAAATACGGCCATTCTGTTTTGTTTTCTGAGATAAGGTTTCTCTAATATTACAGTCCTGACTATCCTGAAACATGTACTGTCAACCAGGCTGGCCTCAAACTCATTGAGATATGCCTGCCTCTGCCTCACAAGTGCTGGAATTAAAGGTTTGCATCACCACTGCCTGTCCTGAGTTCATTTTTGCTGTCTGTGTGTATTTTATTTCAGGGCTAACCACTTTATACTAGGTAGTCAAATGCTGTCTAATATGACTTAATGTCCAACAAGTGGGAAATCATGCCTGGTACTAGAAATCTAGTCAACTTCTAGGGATTAGTAAAGCCATGGATCTTAGAAGAGAATCTACTACTTTTCTAGAAATGTTAATTCCCTATTATATTCTTTTTTAAATTTATTTATTATGTATACAGTATATAATATTCTGTCTGTGTGTATATCTGCAGACCAGAAGAGGGCAGTAGACCTCATTACAGATGGTTGTGAGCCACCATGTGGTTGCCAGGAATAGAACTCATGACCTTTGGAAGAGCAGGCAATGCTCTTAACCACTGAGCCATCTCTCCAGCCCCCTCCCTATTACATTCTAAATCTTACTTCTTATACCCACAGATAAGTATAGCCACCACCACTCATCAAAGAAGCCTCTTTTAATAGCAAATGAAGAACATCACAGAAAACAACTAGACACAATGCTGAGCCCAACAAATCTTGTGGGGTCCAGCCCCAATGGATAGTTCTACATCACAACACCTGCATCCATCTACTCTACATTGCAGAACAGGGGGCAGAAATATTGTAAGAGCCAGACTATGAGGCAGTCCTGTGAAACACCCATCTCTAGACATGTCTACACTGCCGTTTTACTCCAACACTGAAATTTTATGTTGGCCTACTCTCCAAACTTCATTCAGTTGAACTACTTGCTTTCAATAAATCAATCTCAACTTCTACCCTCTCTCCCCTATTTCACATTCTGTTATTCTGCTGCTCTGGTGAACCTTTAATACAAGATTTTAATACTAAGAGTGGGTTCTAGAGTAAAACCTTTTTTAATTATTCAAAATTTTTTTTCATATAATATAGTCTGATCAAATCTTTCCTCCAAACTCCTTTCCCAGATCATCCCCTTTCCTATACACTCAATTTCATGTTCTCTTGTGTTCTCTCTCAAAATAAAATAAATCCTGGAAATCAAAACACATTGTTATACCCATAGATCAGTGCATCACTCAACCCTTCTCAGAGAAGCTTCTTCTTAAAGTAGACAGTAATTAACAGAGACCCACACTGGACATGGTACCCAGACTGAGAGACTTTGGCACACTCAGCCCTATATGGGATGTCTGTAATCCTGCCCCTGACACCAAAGGCTCAGGGAATCTACTTCAGGAGTCAGAAAGATTCTAAGAGTTAGAGCAGAATCTTAAAAATGAGTTTTCTGAATTGATTTTGATGTAACTGAGATTAATTCTCTAATCAGGTTAGAATTAAAGATGTCATTTCAAGGAGAAATGAGAATACTCAAGGGAGTCTGTGGGTGATAAGAAATTCAGATACTGAATCATACTAATCAAGAACTTGTAAGAGACAACATTCTGCAGGACACAGAAGAAAGTGACTGGACTGTCTTTGAAATTTCCTGCTTCATGGAAAAGCCTGCTGGATATTACGATGGGCCTGTGGACTGAAGATTGGACAGCCACTACATTCTTATCTAAGAATAATCCAACTTTTCCTGAAGAAACTGAAATGGACTCCTCAGAAGCAACTACAAGAGAGTTCTGATTCACTCCTAGCAAACCCCTTTGCTTCTATGTCTATACACATTCAAATGTCAGAAGTATCCTGAAGGTGGGATACAAAGCATGAACATGAAGATTAGTCTAGCCTCTAAAAGAAGCACATGATATTTCTAATACATACAGATAAAAAACAAAGATAACTATGAGAACAGATATTAAAGGTGTAGAATATAGTGGAAGGGACATAACATTCACTCAGGCCAAATTTACTGATACAGGTCCAATAAGCAGAGGATTTGTAGGTAATGGGTAAAAAAAGTGTTCTTGTAAGTGCCTGAGAAACGAATCAAAACACAACCTATACTAACTGAAGCTAAAATGTCAGATCTGCACTGATCTACTACCCAGGAAGGCATCTAATGACATAGGGAGTTCACAGTCCTCAAAGTTTGTCATTTATAACCAATTCATCAACAGTGGGAAGTTCCAGAACACAATGTTGATGAGAAACAAATTTGTAGAAACCCCAACTTCCATTCCCTGCTCTCTGATCACGTTTCTCTGTAGGCCAAAATTTACAGTGGTAATTGCTACCATTTAACTGCGAAACCTAAATACAAAGGGAAAGTGGGTGCTATAGTAATGAGAACAATGTGGAAATATTTCATCATCAAATACAAGGAGAGCCGGGCAGTGATGGCACACACCTTTAATCCTTGCACTCGGGAGGTACAGACAGGCAGATCTCTGTGAGTTAGAGGACAGCCTGGTCTACAAAGTAAGTTCCAGAACAGCTAGGGCTGTTACGCATAAAAACCCTGTCTTGAACTCCCCCCTTCCCCCAAAACAAGGAGAGTACCCTTATTTTATTGAAGAGAAGGGTCAAACTCACAGAAACCTATAGCTTTGGCTAGCTGATCATGGTGCTACTATAAGTGATCTAGAAGCGATATCTACTACATTCTTATTTGATCTACATAAATGAAATAATTTAGGTCAAATGACCAAAAATCTAGCACAAATCATAAAATGCCATAGTTTCTCGACTGGTATCCAGATCTGCGCCACTTTATAAATCCAGAAATTCTTGAATGAAAGAGGAGGGTGGGTCAACCTAAGAAAAGATGCTGATGCAATTCTATTCAGACTGTTTATTCAGTTTTTGTAGAAGACATGGCTCTTGGAAGGTGGGGTATCGTATGCTTAAGAAGTTTCTGACTGCAAGTTACAACTACTGGACTAGATATGATTAAAATACCAACTCTTCTACTGGTATAAGAATCAACTTTTCCTTTTGTGTATAAGAAGGCTACTTATTTGTTTTAATTTTGTATCCCACTACTTTGCTGAATGTGCTTATAGCTTGGGAGTTTTCTAGTGGAGATTTTAGGGTCTTTATGTACAGAAATTTATCATCTGAAAATAAGGATATTTTACTTCCTCCTCTATGTATAATACTCTCATTTTCGGGTCTCTAGCTTATCTTCTCTGCTCTCCAGGTTCCAGATTCCTTCTAGGAGGCTTCCAGCATCAGCTGAGCTAGTTCTTTAAATGAAATACCCTCCCATTTGTTTGCACCTTTGTTTTTCTATGAACAAACACATCTGATTGGGTCTGTTTCTCTGGAAAACTCAAACATACATAAACATGCATAGAAATATTTATCTTAGGGCCAGGCAGTGGTGCTACACGCCTTTAAAACCAGGTCTTGGGAGGCAGAGGCAGGAGGATCTCTGTGAGTTTGAGGCCAACCTGGTCTACAGAGCAAGTTCCAGGATAGGCTTCAGAGGTACATGGAGAAAACCTGTTTCAAAAAAACCAAGAAGGGGCTGGAGAGATGGCTCAGTGGTTAAGAGCACTGACTGCCCTTCCAGAGGTCCTGAGTTCAATTCCCAGCAACCACATGGTGGCTCACAACCACCTATCATGAGATCTGGTGCCCTCTTCTGACCTACAGACAGGATACTGTATAAATAAATAAATCTTTAAAAAAAAAAAAACAAGAAAAAAAAAGAAATATTTATCTTAGCTGAAATTGTTATTTTGAGAAGCACATAGTCATTTTTATTTGAAACTTCTGTTTAAAATAATTATATTTAATATTAATTTTATATTAACTATAACATATTGTTTAACAATACAATATTAATTGAAAATTGATATTCAATGAAATTAATGACTTTCTCAGAATATTTATTTAGAAATATAGGTATTTTAACTTAAAATATACTAACTATATATATTAAAAGACCATTAATATATATTGGAAAGTATTTATATGACTAATTAAAAAACTGTAAGAGAAATTATAAGTGATTGAAACATCAACAAGGAGCTCATTTGTTGGAATGCTCTAGCTTTTAAATTGCAATTTTGGCTAAAAAGTATTTTTTTAAAATTGCGGTGTACTGGGGATTTAACTCAAGGCATCAAATGGGCCGGGCAGCACTCTACCACTAAGTAACACCCTCGGCTCTTAAAATTATTTTTAAAATAACAGATTAAGGAGTCGGAGAGATGGTTCAGCAGTGAAGAACTTTTACTACCTCTGCAGAGGGCTCAAGGTTAGTTCCTGATTTCTAGCACCAGATCTCATAGATTCTTACCTATGAATTTGCCTATTTTACTACACCTCTTCTGTACTGAGTCGCTGAGTTCTCTGAATTACAGGTCACTAGTTTTATGTGGTTTTGTTGAGGTGAAGGTTGATATTTCCTACTCTAACATTCTTGGTCATGTCTGAGTTATACTCGTGTATACAAATTCATTCATGCCAGCACAATTGTGAGGGACTGTAAATAGTGCTTGACAAACTGGGAAGCACTTGAACTGGTGCATAGCAGTTCCCGAAATCAGTCCAGTGACAGGAGCCACCTCTCCTCATTCTTACCCCTGGTGGTTCTTTTAGCTGTGACAATACAATAGAGGTAGTGAACTATATTTTAAATGATAACAGTTACTTAGTAAAAGTACATGGTCGTATCTTCTTAATTCTGAAATACAGAATGCTACAAATTTACCTACACTTTTATAAAGAAAGTCTACAAAGCATGGTAACCATTTGGTACAGCACCTTTTCAGTTTCTTACCAAGTCTCGTTGATCCTCCTGTACCAGATCCATTTTGTGTACCAAGCAAAAGATTTTGGCTTCTGGAGAATTCTGCAGAATGGCCTCAAGGCATGACTGGTAATAGTGCATGTCCTTTTCAAGTTCACGGCTCTCCACATCAAAGACATAAATTAGAACCTCCACATTTCGAAAGATGTTGTCACGCTGGCTAGTGAAATAATTTTCCATGAAGGTGTCTTGTCTGTTAGAAAAGAAAATCTAGATCGTAAACAAGTCCTCTGTTTAATCACTACTGCTTGAAATTTTCTTAGCTCGATCAAGAGAAAGACAATCTTAAACTTCAATTCAAAGAGCAAAGAACAGTCAAACATCTTGAGCTCTACCTTACTCTATTTCAGTCATAACTTGCAAGCCTGTAAAATTATTTGCCTTTCTTCTTATGTTTTGTTTTGTTGTTGCTGTTGTATTTGAGACAGGGTCTCACTGTGTAGACCAAGCTGGCCTCAAACTCATAAAGATCAGTCTACCTTTGTATACCATGCCACCATGCCTGGCCTCTCTCCTTTCAATTTAAACACCTTTCTGTTTATTGAGTGGCTGATGGTTTAACTCATGAGTCTTTTACACATATTGATCACTCTTTCACTTCTTCATCTAATTAATCCCACCTTTTTCCTTTAGATTTCTGTCCAATCCACATGTCCTCATAGAAACCATCCCTACCTTGAGCCAGCTCACTTACTGTAGGCTCTTTACCAACACATCCCTGTCATTTACAACACTTACCACAAGTGCAATACTATACTTATTTGGATGAGTTTTTAATTAATAGTGTTCAATTCTCTATACAACCAGCCAAGGATCATCCCTAATATTATCTCCCACTGTCTCACAGATTTTAAAAGAAGGGTGGTAAATGCTTAATGAACATTTGCTGAATAACTTCAGTCAAATATTCTAAACTATATGAAAATGACTCCAACGATGACTTCTCACCAGAATGTTACTCTCTGCTCCTAGGTTGGGTGCTACTTTCCAAAAACAATCTCAATAGCAGGACATCAACAAAACAGTAGTATCATTTAGCAGTGTATATGGGGTGGTGTTTACAAATTTCTAATCCTAATCCTGCACCTTGCTAATTACAGCTGTGCAACCTTGGAAGAATCATAAATTCTCTAAGTTACAACAGATACTTGAACTACAAAACTGAATTTCATATTTTAGTACCTAAAAGCAAGGAACTTGGATATATCTGTTGACATAGAGAATTAGAAGCAATCAAAATGAGGGAAGATTTATATCCTAGGATATTAATCCAAGTGCTAGCAAGAAAAGAATTACTTTCTTAAGAGTATTTAGGTCTTACATTATTCTGTCAAAATACTAACTGAGCATCTTTTGTATGTTTAGAGCTAGGAAATAACCACCGGACAATAATATCTATTTTGTAAGACACTACAGTATATATTGTATATATTTCAACCTGCTTAATCATAATAAACCAACAAGTTGGTTATTTTGCTCTATTGTACAGGTGAAGCTACAGCACAGAGACTTTGAACATATGCCAGACAAAGAACCTATGCTCTTAATCACTATGCATTCACTATCACTGCTTCAGCACAGTGATGTATATGAACTCAGCACACAGGCATAGTAAGTGTACATTTGTGTGGGGATTTTTGATGATTGCACTGATTATGAAAGGAAGTGCTCTCTTACTCTCCTAATAATATACCTATAATTAACCAATAATATACTTGGTTAGATATTATATGCTCAGAATGCAATCTACAAGTGATAAGACTGCCTAGAAGTAATTACCAAAATGACTATAAACAGTCTAGTATAATAAAAATAGCTAAGAACTCAACTCAATACTGGTGTCAATCAACCTGAGGCAGATTTAATTTACGCCACTGCAAAAGAGGGCTGATCTATCCCATATTATATATACTTAGATGGAGCTTAGATTGGAGCTACTTAAATATCTCTTATGTAGAGGGCATTTTCAAACTTGTACAAAACACATCTTTATTAATCAACTGACAATTCTGAAATATTTTTAGGCAGTGGATCTATGAATATAATAGTTATTCTAGGTGTACTTGATTATACTAGATGACATCATTATTGCTATCAGCTTCACAAACAAGTAGGCCCATAGTACTTACCCACCACAATCCCACAGGTTCAAAACCAGGTTTCCCAGAAATCGAACATGAGAATGCTCTACATCAACTGGAAGATAAATGTTACAAATCTAGTATTTGCAGTAAAGACCATTAAGATCAGAAAGAAAAAAAAAACCCACTAACCCATGGTGTTTAGAAGGACCAAAGTGGAGTGAAATGCTCAAAGCCATAACAAGAAGGCAATTTTCAGCTTAGTCATGTGGTTTAGTGGCAAGGTAGGCACCTACACTACCCTGAGCTAAAGGATTGCCTCGTGTCAGTAATTTTTAAATTTCAGTAGTTTAGTACCCAAAGCAGAAACATTCCCCAATTATAATATTAATGTTAAGTTTTAACACGCAAGACAGTGACATACACCATTTAACAGATCTTCCCAACCCCACCTTCTTTCTCCAACTTTCCTCAAAAAAAATTAAAGACAGAAAACAAACATAAAACATAACAAAACTAACTTCTGTACTGATTTCCTCAGCAGTTAATGACTTTATTGATTTTCCTAATTTTGACTCACCTGACCATGCTCAATTCTCTTTGAATCATTTTTAGTATCTCTTAATTTCATTCTTTATTTCATACTCTATCATTCAACATCAAGGAGGGTCCTTATTACCTCATGCCTACACTACAAGAAAGCCTTACTTACATCATCCACTAGGCTACTGCAAGGTTCATCTTCTTAACACTACTTTGAACATATCACTCCCCATTCAAAACACTTTAAATGGCCCCTACAAATTAATGGTCCTTCACTTTGGCTTCCAATCTACCTTTATAATCCCCAGAAGTTCCCATTAACAAATCCTTTCACTTCAACCTATTATGTTTTATTCATAGTCCTCCCAACCCTACTACCTCCCCACCCCCCAACATATTTCACATTCAGGGGTCGCAAACTTGCTAAATCAGGCCATGTGAGCAAACCTATACCATTTAAGCTAGCTAAACGTGATGGTAAACATCTACCATGGGCTCACAGAGGTTGATAATTACTCAAATATTGTTCATTTGCCATGCAAAATTACTACTGGCTCAGGTTTACTAGATCTTCAACATTTTAAGTAGTAGCTTGAATTCTAGATTTTTATGAAAACTTACAGGAGATTATAAGTTCAAATTGTTATAAAACAATGCACAAAGTCAAAGAAAGCACAACCATCGGCCTTCTCCAGCACATAGGCTGTTTGCGACCTCTGCTTAATGGTTCCCTCCTACAACCCATTACCTTTTCCATCTTTTGCTACAAAGTGCCATCCCTTTCCTTCTTCCTTTCAAAGGTAATTCTAAAATCCAAACTAATTCCTACCTCCTCCAAAAGTCCTCCTTGCCTGACAAAAATCCCACTTACCATAAGCTGAACTCATTCAAACATTTATTAAGCAACTACTCTCTGCCAGGCACTAAAAACCTCAAGAAAGAATAATTTAAGATTTTACCATGAATATTTTTTCACAGTCTAACAATTTTGTTCTATATAATTTATGTGCTAGTCAACTCAGTCACATTGAACTATTTCCTGTGTCTATCCCCAAGCTGTTACCTAAACCAACTGCTATCTACTTTTATACAATTTCATAATATATAGACAAAAACCATTCATGATAATGTACATCATACAGATTGTAAAGTCAAACGGACTTTAGTTTATATGACAGTGCTACCTCTGTATGACTTTGCGCAAGTCATGAAAGCTTTTAGAATTAGCTTCCACTTCTGTGAAAAGGAAGGAAGGAACATAGTACTGACCTCCCAGGATTGCTATGAGGATTCAAAGAGCTATATACATAAAAGTGCCTGGCACATAGTAGATGCACAAACTACTTCCCCTTTACCCTTTACTTCCCCCTCCTTGAAAAAGAAATCATATCTTACATGTCTTTGTATTTCCAACAGAGTCTACGAGAGAGTAGGTGCTCAAACTGCTATTAATTTGAAGACTATGTATACGGTCTAGTACTAAAAAAAAATGGAAAGAAGTGCTACTGAGAAAGGGAAAGACAATAACAAAAGCAGTGACAGGATTCAGTGACTTAATATGGGGCATATGGGATAGAAATCAGGTTTCTACTCCCACAGCACAGAGTGGACGTTTTAGTCCTTACTTTCTGCAGGATGACACTGTTGACTACTCACTTCTCCTCAAAAATAATTCTCTTCTCTTGGTCTCCGGCATGACATCTACAAACTCTCTGGAAGATGCTCCCTCATGGACTCTTATTCTTCTTTCTGTCCCTTAAATGTTAGGGTTCTTTGGGACTCTAACAGTGGCCACCTTCTCATCAAAACATTTTTCCCCAAAACAAGATAACTGTCATATAATATTACTTTATCATCTGGACACTAACTAGGTAACACCAGTACTGATTTCTCAATGTGTTCTGTCTGTACTATAAGCATTCCAAATGGAATCTATTAAATATTCAGCTCTCCTTTCAGTTGGCTCCACCTTGGTGAATGTAACCGGCCGCCTAGTCTAAAGCCTCTCATCCTTCAAGTCTTCTTTTTCCTTATAATTCTCTTCAAGTTCCCCAGAATGTTCTGTTGACTCTGTCACCAAGCATATCCCCCAACATTCTAGGTTTGCACCATATCTACTACCACTACCCTAGTCCAAATCAAGTTCCTGCCATTTCTCAAAGTTTTTTAAAATTATAGAAATTCTCACGGTTCCAAAATCTTGAAAATTCTGAGATCCAGCCACCAGTTCAGTGAAAACTAGCACTCTGGCTTACAGATAGTACCTTTTTCTACTCTTCCATCACTCTAAACTTCCATCCACATTACACATATAGTAATTCCTCCAAATTGCTGAGTTTTATACCATTCTTTAAAAAGACCATGTCTGTGCATGCATAATTGTATGCACTGAGCAGAGGGTCAGAATGGTAACCTGAGAAGCACTAATGGTAGTTGTCTCTAGGAAAGTGGCTTGACAATAAAGAACAAAGAAGACCTTTTATATTTAAATAACACTTGAAGCTTTCACAAGTATTATTTTGAATTAAAACTGTATCTCTGATCATATTACCTTTTATTATTTAAAATTCTCTCATAGGTTGACTATCTTATATGTCAAGCTTGGCTTATATGACATTTTACATATAAATCCCATTTCCTGCTTTCTGGGTTAAATGTTATATTACTGTGTGTCCCTATGGTTCTTTATAACCTTCCTGCTCTATTATCATGAGAGCAACTGAAAAGAATAAAGAACGGAGCGTTGGGGAATCACTTACACTTACGGGGCAGAAAGAAGAAAACATGATAAAGATTATCATTTTTAAAAAGCAAGGAGGGGTGGTTAAAGTTAAGGAAGAAAATCATGGCAACAAAGCTTTAAATAAAAATCCAAGAGAACAGACTTTTGAGAAGATAAAAAATCTTGGAGTTGTCAACAGTGTTTGATATTAAAATACTTCATAATCATTTTAGTGGCAAATTTACCATCCCAACAAATAATTTTAAAATCTACCTAATGAATTAATTACATCATGGTTTCTTCTTTATTTCAAATTTCAAAATGCAGGAGGCTTTAAATTTAACAAAATAAAGCAACATATTTTAGGAATGAAAAACCAGGAAAACACTAACACATTTAAGTCAAACAACATTGTAAAAGTAGTACTCTTTTTACTACCTTTAAAAAAAATCAGTAGCTGCATCAAAAGGGATAACAAATAAAAAGCAATGCACTATACATAATCTGATCTAGTCTATACTTTTAGAAACAAACACAGATCTGTCTTCATTAGTGACAAACCAGTTTTTGATGATATGCTAAAACATTAATACCAATATTTTTCATTATATATTTATACTCTCTTTAAGGAAATTCAGGAAATATTAACCAACCAATATACTACTTGACATATTCTTAGGTGCAAGTGCCCCATCCTACTGACAGTCTGGCAAGAGACACTGCTAGGTATATACTTGTTGAATAAATAGCCTATTCTTATGAACAGGATTATATAATTTGCAACGTTATGCTTATAATGCTGCTGGATTATGTCAACATAATTTTCAGGAGTTTCAATAGTTGTGAAAATCTTGCTATGAAACTATACGTTGGATTCAGGGTCATAAACCAACTGTTGATCAGTTAGATACGGAAATCAGTGGTACTAAGAAAAGATGTTTCAACGAAATGTGTAGGATTTAAAATAAGAAGAAAAGGTCTTCTAGGAATTGAGTAGTGGAAATATAAACAGGCTGTGTCAAAATAAAGAGAAGAGCAGAGACTAATATCCCAAGTCTGACACAATACCAGAATGTGATTAATTTTTAAGTTATACTTTCATTACCTGTTAGAATAAAGGTAATATGAAAACTAAAGTAAATGAGAGCAAGAACAAAAGTCATAGTACTTCAATAAGCATCTCTACTCTACTAAAAACACACAGATAGGAGGCCTATCTATTTAATATGGAAGAAAAAGTATGAATGTATCAAATCAAGACACAGAAAAACATTTGGACGAGTACACTTTTTAGAGGCTAGAAATCAGCTCTACAAGTGTTACAAGCCATAGGAAACTATCTGGACCATCATTTTTACAGTAACTGAGATACTTATCAATAAAACTGTATATAACTATGAAGGATAAGAACCACATCAAGTGAGAGAATAAGTAGTTACAATGAAAATATGAAGTCCTTATTATTATGGATAAGAAAACTAACCCAATGGCTTGGATTCTAAATTAAACATGAGCCATTTAATATAAGGATTCACTACTAAGTTCAAATGATGAACTGTGCAAAAGCCAAACGATGTGTACGCTTGAATAAAATATATGCAAATATGAATTGGGGCCTTTGTTACAATTCCGTAAAATGAAGGGTGCTTCAAAACAACAAGGTAGAGTTTCACCATACTGACAGCAAAGGAATGCCCCAAATAAGAGATGTAGTAGGCCTGCCTTGCTCTGATAAAATCACATTTGCATTCATGTCATATAAGAAAAATAGTGACAAGTTTGAACAAGTCCTTAAAAACATTCAAAATTGTGTCAAATGAGGAACCAGAGATGTTTTAAAGTAAGGATAACAAAATTTCGGAGGCAGGGAATGAATAAGATAAATTGAGATATTGTGTATTCTCGAATACGTTTAGAGAACAGAATAGAAAAAAAAAAGTAGACTTGGAACTCTATCTAGGAAACAGCTTTCCTTCCTTCCTTCCTTCCTTCCTTCCTTCCTTCCTTCTTTCTTTTTTCATTTTTAATAACATGGTTTCTCTTTAGCTTTGGTGCCTGTGCTGGAACCAGCTCTGTAGACCAGGCTGGCCTCGAATTGGAAGAGATCTGCCTGCCTCTGCCTCCCTAGTGCTGGGATTAAATGTGTGCACCACTACCGCCCAGCGGAAACAGCTTTCTAATCACCAAGTTTCTGCTCAAATTATAGAAGTCTACACTATACATCAACCCCAAACAGAAATAAAGTCCCTTTTCCTGTATATCTCAGAGTCTGGAGCATAATGTGCTTAAAAGATGTTTGTTATTCTTAAAATCAGATTGTGGCACCTCATAGAACAATGCTAACTTTTCGCTAAACATACTAAAGATGCTAGAAACCCAGACTGAAATCTCTGAAGTCTGGGCAGAGTGATGCCTTCCTCAGCCAGAAGCCAAGAACAAAGCAGACTTCAGAAATGTTTAGATGCTTCAGAATGAAATAGCAATCTGATTCAGTATAAGGTACTCACAGGATTCTTGATTCATTGTTCTGCTAGCCCAGAAGTCTATACTAATAGTCTAGTCACAAAGTGCTATTAAGTTATTTCCCAACTCAGAGTAGATGCTCCAAAGAGAAGCTATAGGTGTATAAAGAAAGAGAAATGGCAGAGCGTAGAACTCCTTACTATTCCCACGTTTTCCTTTTAATAAGGACAAGGATCAACTCCTGCATTAAAAACATCTTCGGTTTTACTGTATGCTAGCTAATGCCTATAATGTTCCTCTTGGTATAAAAAGTTACAAACAAACATTCTCCCCACAAAATAAGCAGGCAAAGAGTTCCTATTCATGCCTAAGAAACAGCAGGATACACAAAAAGTTAGCTTAGATCATCCCATTTTGCAATCAACCTAGAAAAGAGAGCAGCTCCCAAGGATAGTGAGAAATAATAACCAGAATTAGGCCACGCATTCTGAGGAGAAATGCAAAAAGGGAAAGCATGCTCCAAAGCAAATTCATCAACCTGTGCATTCCCGAGCTGCTGCAATCAAGTGTGTTATGCGGATTATTAATAGCCAAGATCACTTTGCTTTACAATAAGATGAAACATCTTACTTGTTGCACCAAGGCTACGTGTGTCTCTGGCAATATAATTGGCAAAGATAATAGACCTCATGCTGGTCTTACCAGATCCACTTTTACCCATTAACAGCACCTAAAGACAAAGGAAAAACTTTAGTAATCTAGAGCAAATCTAGTGTAAAGGGATCCATTTGTTTTCTGTAGCTGGCATTTTACTTAAGTGTAAGTACCAATGAGCAGTATGGACACCTGTAATTAGTTCAACTCTTCCCTAAATAACATTCCAAATGCCAAGCACTTACCTGCTACCAGGTGCACATCATTTTAGCAATACAATGGCATTGAGTTTTTTATTTTGCTTAATATTTTTTAAATATTTATTTCTATTATTCTAATTTTGCATATGTGTGTGGAAGGTATGTGCACATGAATGAATGGAAGTACCTGCAGATATCAGAGATGTGAGGTCCCCTAGGAGCTGCAATGACAGGCAGTTTTAAGGCCACCTGATGGGGTTGCTGGGAATCAAACTCAGGTAGGTCCTCAGGAAGAGCAGTATATGCTCTTAACCACTTAGCCATCTCTGCAGTTCCTTGTTATTATACATAATATTTATTTAGAACAATGTTAGAAAAATGTCATCTTGCTGGAGAGATGTTTTAGCAGTTAAGAGCACTGAGTGCTCTTCCACAGGACCCAGGTTCAACTCCCAGGACCTACATGGCAGCTAACAACTGTTACTCCAGTTCCAGGGGATCTGATACCCTCCCACAGACAACAGAAAAATAAATAATGCACCTAAAATAAATCTTGAAAGAGCAAATAATTAAGATAAATTTTTAAAAAAGAAAACTATCATGTCAATAGGAAACTAACCCTATTCTCCGATAATTCCAGGTTGTACATACATTTGACCCAACTAGCAGCTTTCAGAATAACTGAAAAGCTCCTCCTACTTCTCTGTTCAAGGTCAGTTCTTTTCACTCCAGCCCATGACCTCATCCCTTTCACATCTTTCTTTCATCAGTTTTTTGTCTTTTCTTTTTAACTCTTCTATGTCCTACAAAATTGGGCACTTAAAATTACACACAAGGTCATTCTTGGTTTAGCTTATCTACTTCTGTCTTCACCTCCTGATTCTCCTAGCCCGCAACTGTTAGTATCCAGTCACATTTAACTGAATGGCATACAGTCTCATTGTTTCCAGCCCTCTAGGGAGTCCTGACTATGTCTGTATTCACTCTGTATTCTCTACCATCCTTTTGTCTTCTTTCAACTAAGTCTTCTTTCAACACTTGCTTTAACAATCATCTCAGGAATTTTCTCTGGAGCTGGGGATGTGCCTCAGTACTAGGGTATTTACCTCCTACAAGTGAAACCCTGGGTTCAATCCCCAGTATCCTCCCCATAGTTTCTCTGACCCAAATGCCTTAGGCCAGTGGTTCTCAACCTGTGGGGTGTGACCTCCACAGGGTGTCTGAATGACCCTTTCACAGAGGTTGCCTAAGACCATTGGAAAACAGTTATTTACATAATGATTCATAACAGTAGCAAAATTATAGTTTTGAAGTAGCAACAAAAATAATTTTAGGGTTGGGGGTCACTATAACATGAGGAACTGTACCAAAGGGTGAAGGCATTAGGAAGGCTGAGAACCACTGCCTTAGGCTGACTTAGGTATCTTGCCTGCCCTCTAGTGGTCTTACTATATCATTGCAGATCATAAAGCTCTGCAGTCCCTTGTTTTGGGAACTCTTCTCAGGACTTCAAACTGTTGAAGGACAGAGGGAGTCTCTTTGTATCCTTTGTGCCCCCCCCTTTTTTTTTTATCTCCAGTGCCTAATATGTAACAAAAGCTTGAAGTATTTTCATCAAAAAATGAACAAGCCATTAAAACTAAAATGCAATGACAACTGTCTGAAAGCAAGACCTGATACACATCTTTCTTGTGTTAGGATTTAACCTGTGAATAATGCCACATATTCTTGCATTAAATGACTTTCAAATAGACAAGATCTCCCGGGTAAACTGGGGTGGGGGTGGGTAGAGAGGAACTGTAGGGAGATGAGAACATCAGGGACCAGGATGGTCAAGTTGGGGGAGGGATGGAAAGGGAGAGCAATGATGGAGCAATTATGGGGTTAGAGAACCCTGGGGCTAGGGAAACTGCCAGGAAACCACAAGGATGATCCCAGTTAAGACTCCTAGCAATAGTGGAGTGGGTACCTAAACTGGCCTTTCCCTGTAATTAGATTGAGGACTACTCTAATTGTCATCATAGAACCTTCATCTAGTTACTGATGGAAGCAGAAGTAAAGATCCACAGCCAAGCACTGGGCTGAGCTCCCGGGAGTCCAGTGGAAGAAAGGGAGGAGGGTTAAATGAGAGGGGAGCAGGGGGTCGAGATCATGATAAGGAAGCCCACAGAGACTGCTGACACTCCGGACAGAAAGCTGGGAAGCCTGTATGGGACCAAACTAGGCCCTCTGAATGTGGGTAACTGTTGTGTGGCTTGGTTTTCCTGTGGGGCCCGTGGCAGTGGGACCAGGATTTATCCCTGGAACATGAACTGACTTTTTGGTGGGTTACCATGCTCAGTCTTGATACAGGGGGGAGGGGCCTGGTCCTTGGTGTGCCAGGCTTTGTTGACTCACCACAGGAGGCCTTACCCTTTCTGTGGAGTGAATGGAGAGTGGGGGAGGGGGAGAGAAGGAGGGGAAGGGAGGAGAAGCTGTGGTTGGTGTGCAGAATAAATAAAAAATTTAAAAAAGACTTTCAAAGAGTCCTTCTAAACACAAAAATGATAAAATACAATTCTCATAGCCGCCTCATTTTCAAATGAAAGGGATACCTAGTCTCTACCTTCAGTCCCAATATATTTTATTGAAATGTCTGATTACAAGGAACATTAATGAAATATAAGGAACATTAATGAAAACATACCGGACATGGATTTATTTAATCCAACAATTTATAGCTTTACTTCCCTAAGAAAATGTAACTGCATAGCCAGTCTAAAATTAATATGGAAGTTTTCCCGTCCTTTGCAAAAAAAAATGTAATTGAAAACAATAACTGTATATTTCTGAGGGTACAAACTGATTCTTTAATGCATGTACACTGTAGAATGTTTAAATCAAATAAAGTTTTACCCTTTTTCTCTTTTCACATTTTTGAGATTTTCAATTGTTTCTAATTTTTGCTCCTAATCATGTAGAGATTTCTGGCATTTTTAGGCATGCTTGTTGATAGCAACTTCAGACATTTCATCAAAAACGTCTTCCTAGCAAACTTAAGACACAGAATTAAATTTTAGATGAAGTCAGGTTAAAAGTATTAGGCCTTTTCATGAAAAGGCAAGGATAATTATATTTGAGCTCTACAGGGAGTTTACTCATGTAAAGTTCCTAATAGTCTTGGGAGGGTTATGACCCCTTCACAGATGGCACGAAATCTCACAAAGGTCAAGAAATGTGCTTCAGAGCCAGCAAAACACATAGAACCTTTGATTTGTGTTAAAGAATCAATGTGCACGCAGAGGGTTGTGTAATAGTTGTATATGGCTTGACTCCATGACTCCATAATTTTAGACAAAGGGAATCTGGCAGTAAATAAAGGGATGAGAGTCCAAAAGACCATATAAGTTATTGCCACCGTTCAGGAAAAGACAGATTTCCTGAACTATGACTTCTTACCTTTTTCTTCATGTTTCTAATGTACCTAACACATCTTACCTTTTTCTTCATGGTTGCGTTTGGCATTGCCCACCTGTAGATATAAACCAAAAGACAGTGTTTCCATGATCTAATTGCCTTAGAAATTTGTAAAAAAAAAAAAAAAAAAGGCAAGTAAACGGAGAGAAGCAGAATAATACTGTTTAAAACAGCTAAGTACGCAGGAGACCTCTTTTCATTAGTCTTCATTTTCCTAAATTATAAAACTGGGTCTATGTTCCCTGCTTCCTTCGTTAGCTCAGGAGATGCTTCCTGGGAAGACATATTTAGAAATAAAAACAATTTAAATTCAAGATCTGGTATTTGTCATAAAACTAACAATACTCTGTGCACTTCTATAAGTCAAACAATATTTTTAATTTGAATACTATGCTTTTAATTTAGCTCATTTTCAAAACTGGAAGCATCTTTGGACCTTCAATCGTCCTTCCAAGCTGCATTTCATTCATTAAAGGCACCAAGTACACATAACGCAGCTCGCAAACAGGCATATCAAACTATACGTCATTGGTCAGTAAATGTCCTCTCCCCCTTTTTATCACTAACGAGGTGATATCTATCAGCAAATCACCTTTGTAGAAAACACAAAACAACTCAGAACTGCCTCAATTAGAGCACTACGCAGAAACCAGGAATCTCAGCTTCAGGCAAAGGGCTGTTTCTGGTCTCCGTTTTTCTCTATCATCAAGGGCAGGATATCAATCAACCATGCGGGTAAATTACAGCAATTTATCCCTGGAGCTTAGGGGTTGTTGCCGTTCGCAATACTCTTTCCAATTAGCACACCCTCCCTCCTAGGTACAACATAAAATACCCTTCACCCACCCAAGCGATCCTTCCGGTTCCCCGAGTGGAGGCTCCACTCTTGGGCCCAGATCCTCTTTCTCCGTCTTTTTCTCGGAGTCAGATTCTTCCATCGCGCAACAAGTCCTTCACAGTGCCTTCTAAATGCGCAGTACTCTTGTCTTCCGGCTCACCTCCTCAACTGCCTCTGCTCACTGCCCACGGCCCTGGGCCTGCTCTAGCCCTGCCACCGCCTTTGTCCACTGGGGGGCCGCGTTTCCCACAGTTACCCTTACCGCCCCGAACTTAGTCTCCGGCACGGCCGAGCAGGCCAGCCCACAGGGACCAGCGACTCGCGGCGTGCGAAGAAGAGATGGAGGGGAGGGAGGGCAAGGTGGCTGAGGAGTTGCTCCCGAGTTGGGGCCTCACTCCCCAAGGGCTCCAGACCCAAAGGGAACTTGGTCCACCTCAGCGCAGCCCGCGAAGGCTGAGCTAACGGAACGAGCTGACCCGAGCTGCAGAAGCAAAGCGGTCACCGCCTGGGGGCTCTTCCCAACCTCGCCACCAGTGAGAATCCGCCTGAGGCCGCCTTGACTTCTGCGCCCGCCCTTCAGGAGCGCAGAAGCCTCACCGCAGCCACGCTACTGCAGGCCAGGATCACGTGGGAACCTGCCGTAGTCCCGGGCCGGTCACGTGCCGCTATCCTGGGGGGCTGGGGGCGCTGGGGAGAATACCATAGAGACGGCTCTAGGGAAGCCAGAGTGCCGCCCGCCGTCACGAGGCCCGGCTCGCGTTTCCGCGCCACAGGCCCTAAAGGCGGCCCGCAGGCGCTGGGAAACTGGCGGACGTGGCCCCGCCCACCCGCTGCTCAGAGTTAAAGGAGAAGGTTGCAATTTCAGTACCAGCAAGGTACCTGTTTTCAGGGCTGCTCAGGTTTAGGAGTCTGTGCAGAAAAGGCTATTGTGGTAACTTTTCCTTCCGTTAGCCCTTATGGCAGTTCTAATCATTTTAAAAAATTAGTACATCTAAAGTGCTATAAACTGTCGTTCACATAGAAAATTCTCAATAAATTGTTATTGCCAGGACCAAAAACACACACAGGGTGTAGCACATTCACCACTTAGCTTTAAAAAGTTGCAAATGTGTTTTTCAATTTTCTGATTAACATGTAATATTTGTTCATACAGAACTTAGTGTGGAAAATAAATTCTCATAAGAGAATGTCCTCTCAGCCGGGCGGTGGTGGCGCACGCCTTTAATCCCAGCACTCGGGAGGCAGAGGCAGGCGGATCTCTGTGAGTTCGAGACCAGCCTGGTCTACAGAGCTAGTTCCAGGACAGGCTCCAAAACCACAGAGAAACCCTGTCTCGAAAAAAAAAAAAAAAAAAAAGAGAGAGAGAGAGAGAGAGAGAATGTCCTCTCATAAGAAGTTAGGAAAGTACAAAACTGATAAGGGACCATGCTTCATAGCTAAATTCTATTCATAATATAAAGAAAAAATATTCCTCATCTTTCCCAAGATGTTCCTGAAAATTAATAAGAGAGGAATACTTCTAAATGCCCCTTGGCAATAATGGAAGTAGTTCATAAATTTTCTACTTACCAAAATATATTTGTGTGTGTGTGTATGTGTGTGTGTAATTTAGAAACAAAAATACCTATTCACAGCTGGGTGTTGGTGGCACACGCTTTTAATCCAGCAGTCGGAAGACAGGCAGGTGGATCTTAGTACATTAGAGGCCAGCCTGGTCTACAAAGCAAGTTCTGGGAAAGTCAGGGCTACACAAAGAAACCCTGTCTTGAGAAACTAAACCAAAAAGACGAAAAAACCAAAGCAAAGCAAAAAAACTCCATTCACCCTATAAGGCGTTTGAGTATAAGACTTACTAATATATTATGAGCTTTTTCATTTTCCTTTCCAGATGTAATGACTATCCTGGATTTTGGTAAATCTCAGTTCACTCCTGTTTTTATCATATGTATATCTAGTCCCAGAGTGATGCAATAGTTGGTTTTTATGGCTTACCTATGTGTATTCTATCTTGATTTGATTGAATTTACTTAATCTGAAGATTTATGTTCTTCATAAAATTATCATCACCCCAACACATTGTATGTACTGTAAACATATACAATATTGTGATGATTGATTTTAATCGCCAGGTTGAAAAATGTAGAATCACCTGAGAGATTGCCTTCTGAGTAATAATCTCTGGGATCATCTTAATTATGTCAACCAGGATGAGACGACTGGCGCTTAAGTGGGTGGCACGGTTCCCTAGACGACATGTCATGAACTGTAGGCGTGAAGAAAGGGAGCCAAGCACTACTAGCATGTGTGCGTCTGTTGTTCTCCCTTATGACTGTGGATGGATGGAGCAGCTCTGTCATACTCTTGCCGCCATGGCTTCCCCACCACGACAGACTGTACCATGAAACTCTGATCCAAACAAAATGAACCTACCCTTTCTCCCTTAAGTTGCTTACGTCAGAGTATTTTATCTCCAGTTCAGAAAAGAAACTGAGACAGATGCCTTTCAACGAAAAAGAGAAACACGTTAACTGTAAATAGGACGACTTCAGAGTACATATATTAAAACTTTGGGGCATCTAAAGAGCCGCACACTAAATTTGTACTTTACAGATAGTAATCTGAGGAAGAGAGGAGTGAAAATAGTTGCTTATATTTCAACTACTGTTTGTAGGAAGAACAAATTCCAACCAAGCTCTCTTAAACTCTCTTACTATGAACACTGACTTATTGTTACAAAGAAAAAAATGACCTAAGGCAGAATGGCCCTTGGCCCAAAAAGACCCAATGTACTCTCACTTTGAATGTCTGAGAGCCCTGAGGCATAAACTTGTAAGGACCTGAGAGGATCATTTAAGAAGAGACATTCTGTCAGTGCGTGATACATAGTATGAGATCGCATCTATGTCAAAGTGTTCTGAGGAAGTGATGAAAAGATGCCAATAGAAAGAACCCAACCTGTATCCATGCTTTCCATGGGAGAAAACACCTCAAGAAAACTGGTTAATTCCCATAAAGGATTCAGAGCTTCGGTTTTCCTAGAATCCCTGACATAGATAATGTAAGATCACGTGCTCATCTGAAAAAGAGTTCTTGCTGGTGAGATAGATGGACCTGTTATCCAGATGCTCAGGAGACTGATGCAGAAGGATCCTCGCCTGAGTGTCGTAGCATGACTTTTTCCTGGGAAGCTGGTGAAGCCTGGCATTTCGCCCTTGACTCGGTGTATACCCAAGAGCAGGAAGAGAGCTGAAATCAGGCATAGTTCCTCTCAGTCTCTTTGGGCTTGTGCTCCTGGCTGTTACTGTGATGGCCAGAGCTCTCAGGTTGCTCAAGGTCCCCTCAGCATGTGCCTATGGGAACCATAGTAGCCCCTATCACCCTACCAGTAAGGGGCACTGAGCATACATAATGTAGTGGGGAGGGGATGGTGGAAATCTTATGGGCACCTGCATTTAGTCCTGGCCATGGCATGGGTCGACATGCTGCTGGCCACGCTGCCTGTGTTACAGAGAAAGGCTGATGTGGTTTAGGAAAGCAGTATTTGCAATCCCTGCTGTGTTACAGCACACATACCCTACAGAGCAAGGCGCTAAGTGGGCTCCATTCACAATCACTCTTACTGACAGATTGGGTTTAGGCAGTTAATCCCTTAGCCAGTGCAATAGGCTCTCCAGGTTCCCACAGAGGGGGAGAATGCAGGAATTTCTGACCCATTCAATAGCCAGCTCACACAATAGCTCCTTGTTGAGATAACTTCTGGCTCCGGCACCCTGGTGGCTCACTGGGAGATGATGTAAGGTGCTTTTCCAAGGCAATTATTGTGCATTTTTCACACTGTTTGCAGAAGTGGGCTGCAATTTTGTGAGGACTTAGACACTTTTGAGTCGCCAGCATGCACACTGGGAGAGTTTACTGGGAGTCTGCCTCTTCCCTGCAAAGGGTAGTCTTCACTTCCTGCAGCTGTGAAGCTTGAGTACCAAACGTCAGGATGTTTTCTTTCTCCTTTTATGATTCCTTAGGTCTATGAATATTAGAAAGTTACACCACCCTTTTGTTGACTTTCCCCATAGTCATTCATCTCAAAATGTGGCTATAGATCTTCGTTCTCCTTATGAAGGAAAAAGTCACTGCTGAGTACTTTAATTCATCCATCTTGATTTTCAAAGTTGAAACAGTTAATTTTTTTTGTCTCTTTGTCTGACTCTTCCAGAATTTGGAAGCTCTTACTGAATATAATTATGCTAATGGCAAGGTAACTTGGCATAAGAAGAGGCAACAAGAGTCTCTCTTCATTGTTACCTGGATCTAATCGGACAGTTGTTAGATTGTCAAGTTTTCAACTGCTATGTCAGGTTTGAGAACAGAACTCATTTAATTTGATAAGAGCATGCAGTTATAGAGACTTAAGGTTGCCTTTCTGGGATCAATTTTTTGAAAGCTCTACTGAGAAAGTCAGAATGGCACCAAGCCTACAAGGCCCCCAAAATTTCAAGTATGTAAATAAAGTCACTCCCAGGTGGATCCAACCAGCTGAGTATGTTTGGGGACTTTGAAAGAGATTTTTCTCAAATGTGTAAGTATTGTGGGGGAAATGTCAAGGATTGTGCTATCTAGCATCCAGAAAGTTTCACGTTTCACCAGGGAACCCACATGAAGCCTGCCAGAAGAGGAAAAAGTATGAGACTCACTCTAATAAGGTCACTGCTGGGATTTTGTAAGCAAGAATAATGTTTCCTTGAGATTATTTTTTATTAAAAAATGGAGGGAAGACTAAAGAGCTATTTTGTATTTTAACGGGAAATTGCTCATTGTGTCATTTCGGTTGTCAAAAATTGAGCATTGTTTATTGTCTGAGTCACCTCGAAACTCTCGGACGTCAGAACTGGAAAGCACAGTGCACGTGTGTCCTTTAGGCCCAGGATTAATGAATGAGCTCTCCCATCCCTAGTTGGAAAAAACACTTGCAGTTCATCTTAGTCTTCCTTTAATGATACAAATCTGAGGTTTGACTTTGCCTTAGAAACAACTGTAACATGTGAAGTTTTCTTAATGAATGAGGGAAAAAATTACATGTGTGTGCAGGTGTGTGGCCAGAAGTCAACCCCAGGTGTCATTCCTCAGAAGCCTGAGACTAAACTTCCAATGGCAACTGTGATTCGCTGGCTTGAGCCTCTGGAATCTGCCTATTTTTACCGCCTCAGTGCTGGGAGAATAAGCATGCACTACTGTGCCTAGTGTTTTTAGGTGTGTGTTGGGGGATTGAACTCATGTCTTCTTTCTTGCATGACAAACACCTGATTGAATGAGCTATCTTCCCAGCCCCAATATATATTTTAAATTTTTCTTTTCTTTTTGAGGTAGAATGTGGTGTGTTCCAGGCTGGCCCTGAACTCACCATATAGCCAACGATGACACTGAACTTCTAATCTTTTTGCCTCCAACTCCTGAGTGTCAGCAATATAGGCATGTGCCGCCACACCAGTTGTATGAACTGCTAGGGCTGGAATCCAGAACTTTGTGCATGCTAGGCAGCTACTACCAACTGAGGTATGTTCTAAGCCAGACTTGGTCATTTTGTATTTGTGTTAGATTCATGTTTTATCTATTCTGAAAGATTGAATAAGTAAGTTTTAGAATTGTTGTGAAATGGTCAAAATTTAATTTCTTATATATTTTTGGGCCATTTCCATTCTGCATGATTGATATATTCCTATCTACTGTCCAGATGACAGAATTAAGAATTCAAACTTGTTTCCTCACTAAAGCATTCACACGACT